CACCCCAAGCCCTGGACAGGCCAGAAGGCTCCAGGGAACAGCACCTGCAGGTTAGCCAGATACAGGCTGGGGAAAGACAGACTGATGGACGAGTCTTTGAGACCGAGCCTCTGTGGGCCCCATGCCAGCCCTGTGGAAGAGGGCCTGTACGACACTGCAGCAGAGTGGAGATCCCTTCTGGGCAGGTGTCTCGTCAAAAAGAGGTTTTCCAAGCCCTGGAGGCAAGCAAGACGGAAGGGCCAGGGTCCAGGGAAATCCCTGAGCCCATCTCTGCGGGCTCTGTGCACAAGTTCACCTGGCTCTTTGAGAATTGTCCCATGGGCTCCCTGGCAGCTGAAAGCATCCGAGGGGGCAACCTCCAGGAAGAACAGCCCATGGGGCCCTCCAGCAAAGGGGTGCGGGAGAAGCCGGAGACTGCAGCCGAGGGGACCCTGTGGACTCTGCATGCCACACCTGGCATCCTGCACCATGGAGGCATCCTCATGGAGGCCCGAGGGCCTGGGGAGCTGTGCCTTGCCAAGTATGTGCTCCCAGGTCCAGGGCAGGGGGCGCCCTGCATACAGAAGGAGGAGCTGGTGTCTGGTGAACTTCCCCGGATTGTCCGCCAAGTGTTGCGCCGGCCAGACGTGGACCAGCAGGGGTTGCTGGTTCAGGAGGACCCAGCAGGCCAGCTCCGGCTCAAGCCACTGAGGCTGCCAGCTCCCAGCAGCAGTGGGAATGTTGAGGACATGGATCCCGAGTTCCAGCAGTTGCTGGCTTGTGGCCTGGGGACTTCCATGGCAAGGACTGGGCTGGTGATGCAGGAGACAGAGCAGGGCATGGTTGCACTGACCGCCTACTCCTTGCAGCCCCGGCCAGCTGGCAGGGCCCCTGAGAGGAGTAGTGTGCAGCTGCTGGCCAGCTGCATAGACAAAGGAGACCTGAGTGGCCTGCACAGTCTGCGGTGGGAGCCTCCGTCTGACCCAAGTCCAGTGCCAGCCAGCGAAGGGGCCCAGAAGTTGCCTCCAACTGAGAGCATCATCCATGTTCCCCCCCTGGACCCCAGCATGGGGATGGGGCATCTGAGAGGCCCGGGAGCTACCCCTTCCCCCATGCAGGCCATTGGAAAGGCAGTCTCTCTAACTAAGGAAGACAGTTGCCCTGGGCAGAAAGGGATGGCAGCTTTGCAAAAGTCAGGAACAACGACTCTACTCCCCGGGCCCAGGGCCCCAGACCTTGGGGTCACCAAGCAGAGTCTGCAGATGGCAACAGCTGAAGCCCAAAGCCTGAACCAGCAGGTGCTGAAAAAGCACTGGCAGGGTCCCAGCCCAGGAGCCACTTCCATGCCCTTCCAGGAGGGTCGTCTGCAAGCACCCATCAAGGCTGCTGTGGCTGCCCAGAGCAACACTGGCCCTATAGCTGGAGGTGACCCCAAGATCCCAGCAGCCCCCAGAAAGGTCAGTGGGGAACAAAAAGCACTGTCTGGAGGACTACCTGGGGGGTGGGTGACCATTCAGGATGGCATCTACACTGCTCACCCCGTGAGGACCTTTGACCCACCTAGGGCTATCCAGCCTTCTGAGGGGGGACGCTCACCAAGGGGCAGGGAGACTACCGTCTCAGTCCAGGCTCCAAGCCCACTCCAGGAAGTTCCAGGCCAGGGTCTCCAGCCTGGCTGGGAGGAGCCTGGGGGTCCAGAGCAGGTGACAGCAGGAGTCAGACCACGGGGCCTCCAAGCCACCGAGACCACACTGAAGCCCGCCCTGCTAGTCCACCAGACTCCGGCCTCTGGGCCTCAGGCTGCAGGTGCCTGCCGGCACTCCCATAATGCCTCTGTTCCTCCTCCTCCTCCTCTCCCAGCTGCTGTGACAGGACCTGACTTCCCAGCCCAAGCCTGCCGTGCTGAAGACACCATCAGGCAGGTCTCCGAGCCCCTGCAGGACCCCCTTCTCCATTCCCACAGCAGCCCTGCTGACCAGAGAACCCCTGAGGAATCACAGACAAAGACCCTGAAACTGGAGCCCACCCTTCCCTCAAGGAAGAAGCCTCAGCTGCCCCCCAAACCTGCACATCTAAGCCAGATCCCCCCTCCTCAGAGGCTGCCCAGGCCCTCAGCTCCATCTCTCAACTCCTCCAAGGTGAGGCAAGGAGAGTACACACAAGGTGAGACAGATGCAGTCATTCCTCGGCCGGCCAAGGTCCCCACCATTCCAGACCTGGGACACATATCTCTGGCTGGGCATCCTGGGGGACAGAGCCAGCCCAGCCCCCAAGGTGGCCCTGAGTGCAGCAAGAGTCAACCTGCAGGCAGAAGGGCCCAGAGCCCTAAGCCTCCCACGCTCTCGGGTCTCAGCAGTGACCCCACCTCACCACAGCAGAGAAGCCCCCCTGGAGACAAGCCCACAGAAGTTTCCCAGCAAGGTTCCCCTGAGGGATGCCAGCAAGGGCTCCAGGGCCTCCTGAGCCAGGGGCAAACCCCAGAGAAGGAGGCTGCAAGCAGTGTGGACGTAGGGGCGCTGCGGAGGCTCTTTGAGGCTATGCCCCAGCTGGGAGTGACCCCTCAGCCTACTGCTGCCCCCAGCAAGCCCGAACCCTCGGTGGAGCAGGCCTTTGGGGAGCTGACAAAGGTTAGCACGGAGGTGGCCCGGCTGAAGGAACAGACCCTGGCCAGGCTGCTGGACATTGAGGAGGCTGTGCACAAGGCCCTCAGCTCCATGTCCAGCCTGCAGCCAGAGGTTAGCACCAGGAGCCATTCGCAAGGACCTATAAAGGACCACAGTTCCTGCAAGGTCAGTGTCATGGACAGCAGTAGAGCCAGGCCCAATTGCTCAGGCCAGGAGGTCAGGGGTCAAACCACAGTCAAGAGCCAAACTGGGGTTACATGCTATACTGAGGTCCAGAGCCAAGCGAAGGTCAGAAACCACACAGAGTTCAGAGGTCAAGCAGCTTCCACCACCCCTTCCACTAGGAGGCTAGGGACATTAAGAGAAAAGCCAACCTTCCCTCAGGTCTGCCTCCCAGCAGAGTCACCCTCCTCCCCAACCTTCATCTCCATCCAGTCAGCCCCAAGGAAGCTTCTAGAGGCTCCCAGCCCCAGGGTCAGCCCCAATATCTCAGCAAAAAGTACACACCTGGCCCAGGATGTGAGCCAGGCACTGATCTACCAGAAGGGTGTCCAGGACAAGGCTGGGAAGAAGGCCACCCAGTGCTCTAGACAGCCGGAGCCCGCCCCAGCCTCAGCCGGCGCCCTGCCCACGGGGCGGCAGAGGAGCACTCTGGAGCTGCAGACAAGGACCTTGACAGAGCAGGACGAGGAGGTGGGCCAGTGTGCGAGCAGCACAGTAATGGCATCCTGCTCTGAGGTCACTGAGGGAGCAGAGCTGCCCAGGGGCCCAGGCCCCCACCTTGGGCTCCATGCCTCCCCCTTGCTCCGGCAGTTCCTGCACAGTCCAGCGGGGCTCAAAGGGGCCCAGGCAGCGGCTGGGGTGGCATGTGTGCCCGGTGGCCACTCTCAGTCAGCAGCCCAGTGAGCCCCTCTGCCTTCCAGCACAGCCTCCCATCTGTCACACTGGCGTGCCTCTCTCCAAGGCCCCAAGACTGAGGCAGGTACCCACCTCCTGCACACAGAGGGCAGGACCAAGAAGAAAGGGCATCTTCTGAGACTTGTGGGCAGGTTCCTTTCCCTCAGTTCCATCAGTAGGCCTGGTTTTTGCAACAAGGGGCAAAAAGGCTGGGAAGAGGCCCCCTGTCACATGGGCATGGGAGTAGGAAGGGGGCTCGTGGCTGCTTGTGGAGGATGTCATGTGGAGACACCTGCTCAACAGGCCTAGCCCACATACAGGCACATGTGAATCTGTATGCCACTGCCTGGGGCAGGGCCCCTGAATAACACTTCTCCCTCAGCCTGCCTTTCTTTTATTAGAGTCAAAACGTCCTCAGCCATCACTCCCTAATTCCTGGAGAGGACAGGGCCAACTGGACATGGGGCTGGGGTGTTTGGGATTGGTCTCAGGGCCCCTTCATCACCATCTCCATCATTTAGCGGGTCATCCCAGAAGCTCAAAAGTTACATGGAAAGCGCTGGCAATCAGCCACATCCCTACAAGCCAAAGAGCCTGCCTCTCTACCCACTGTCCGTCACTCTGCACCCCAAATGGGCAGGATACCATCTGAATAAACACAAATTTTGTTCTGTCTTCTGTGTGTGTCTGCCTGACTACCTGATCTCTTCCAGGTCTGGGTTCCCACTGCGGGGAAAAGCCACAGCTTTAGATGCCCATTTTCCTGGCAATAGCAGTGTTGGAAGGCTCTGAAAAACCAACCCTTCTTCTGCCACCTTAGCTGGAAACCAGAAAGCCCCTGCACACCCCCTGTGCTGCTTGTTCCCCATCACATGCACTGCTACCCCTCTACCTCTGGAGGTCCTTGGGCCTCACCCTGGAGTGGAATATGACAAGGATCCTGCTCCAGAGTGGGAGAGTAGCCTAGTCAGGACTGGGAAGGATGGAGGACCTCATGCCAGGAGAATCCTGGTGGCCAAGATGTAGACAACATTCCCCTGCTCAGGCCAGGGGCAATTTAGGTACCAAAGCCACCCACCTGGGCCTAATACCCAGAACAGGGGTTCCTGGGAGGGGAATGCAGAGATCCGATGATTTGGGCAAGGGCCCTTTCCACTGTTTCAAAAGGCATTCAGTGCCTGCTGCATGTCAGGCCTGCTCTCAGCAGCAGGGACACAGACATGAGGCCTAAAGGGGTCATGCCCTCAGGGAACTGACTTCCTAGAATGAGGACACAGAGAACTTAGTCCATGAATAAATACAAAATATCAGAATAAGGGCGATGCATCTGATAGGCCACTCTTCCACTCTGGGGTAGGAGTCCCCAAATATGGTGATGTGACAATGATAGCTGAGTGCCTTGGAGAATTTGGCTAAAGGTGGACCTCTCCAAAAAAAAAATCTCACCTGAGATCTAAACAAAAAGAGCCAGTGACATGAGAATCAAGGGGGTGCATGCCAGGTAGAGGAAAGAGCACAAGTAGAAACCCAAGGTGGGAGTGGATTTCAGTTCCTGGACCTGGATACCCCTCCATAGGAAGGGGCTTTAGCAGCTCCCTCCACATGGGGCCCTCCAGGGATATATGGGAACTTGCTCACACTTGCTTCAGTTGAACACGTGGGCTCCTAGCCTACCACCTGCATAGGACAGCCCTCTGCACTCCTCCCCCACCCGACCTCACTGCCAGCGTGCTCATATGGGTGGGCTCCCCTGGGGCAGCAGAGCGATGACCTAGAAGGGGCCCATCCCCGTGTAAGCAATTAAGATACCAAATCTACACACCTGCACAGAATACCCTCCTCTCACTGGACCCCAGGCCACATCCTTGCCCCGGATCTCACTTGATTACAGGGCCCTGGAGTTTATAGCATGACTGTTCTTAGTGGTGTCATCTACAAAGTGGGACGATTATGGTACCTATTGTGAAGATTACATGAATGATGTGTGTAGTGCTTGGAACCAGGCCTAGCACCTGGAACTCAAAGACGTTCACTCATGGTACTCACGGTATTTTAGTTGCCAGCTTAATATATTTCTTTGTCACCTGCAGGTGGAGTCCCTGTCTTGTTCTTCTCAGTGTCTCTGGTGCTTATCAAAGTGCCTAGAAAGCGCTCCACAAACGGCAAATAAATGACTGAGTTCACCCATGCATCCAACTAACATTTATAGAGCACCTATGCGTGCCAGGTTCCGCTCAGTGTGCTGAGAATAGAGATGAACAAGGCGGAATTTGCCCCTGACCTCATGAACTTAGGTTTAAAGAGGGAGGACCGCAGATCACAAGCAGGTAAGATCATTTTAGAGGAGGGCGATACTACGAAGGATATAAAAACCAGGCAGTTACCTTCGCTTGGGTGTTCGGGGAGGGCATCCCTGTGCGGAGGTGACCTAAACCACCGAGGAACCGATTGGTAGCGCGCGAGAGGGCGGCACAGGGCGGGAAGTGGTCCGCGACGGTGGCTGGTGCGCGGGCGGCGGCGGGCCCCGGACAGCAGCGGCCTTGGGCGGGGTCTGGGTCGACCCTGCACAGCCGCAGCCCCACCTGCCGCCCTTGCCGAGGCCCCGCCTCCCCCACGCCGGGGGACTGGCGGGGCGGGGCCTGAGGCGGAGCGCGCACCGCCCAGACCCCGCCCCGGAGCCCTGGAGGCGGCCGTCCGCCGTAGCCCAGGATGCTGACGTCAAGTCTCGGGTTCCCGGAAATGCCCGTGACGCAGCTCTGGACGGACCTGCTTGGCCCGGACTCCCGGGGGTGGCGTCTTCGCGTCACCCAAGTCGCGGCACGCCCGGGCAGACCCCGGCAGGGCGCCCTTCCCTCCTGGCCCTCCGCCTGCTCGCGTGTCCCAAGTTCACCCGCCAGTCCTGTCTTCCCAGCCGCCCCTGGGTCTCCGGCCACCCTCCGTCCGCCTTCCCTGAGAGGAGGACGACCTCCCGGTGGTCCCCCTCGCCTGGCCCTTACTGTCCCCACAGTCTGCCATCCGACTGGCCGCCTTTACAGACATCTACCAGGCCAGTCTTCTGTGTGATGCCCTCTGCTAGCTGCCCCACTCGTTAAGTCGAAAATCTGTTCGGCCTCGGCCTTACTTGCACGTTTCATTGTTGCCTCCTCACTTACTCGCCCACATCCCCGTGGGACTGCCATCTTCACAGAACACACCAAGGTGATTCCGGTTTGCCCCTCATGTGTCCTATGATCTTTAGTGGCTGGGCTCCTCAACTCCTTCAGAAGGGCCTTTTCTGACCCACCCTTTCCCTGCCTCTTCCCATGCCTGGTGGAACAGGGCTGTAAGTTACCAGGCTGTTTTCCTGAGTACCTATTACAATATGAAATTATCCTGCTCAGTATTTGCTTGCTTATTTTCAGTGTTCTGATACTATTCCTGCACAGCAAATCACCTCAAACAGTGATTTAAACAATGACCACTTCATGATGTTCATGAGTTCGGTGGGTCAGGAATTTGGACAGAACACAGTGGGAATGGCTTGTCTCTGTGCCATGATGTGTGGGGCCTCAGCTGGGAAGACTCCAAGGCTGGGCTCCTAATTCAGCATTAGGGTCTGGAAACGCCTGAAGACTCACTCACATGTCTGGCAGTTGATGCTGGCTGGGATGTCAGCCAGAACACATACGCATGGCCTCTCCGTGTGGCCTGGGCTTCCCTGCACATGGCAGTCTCAGGGGACTGGACTTTCTACATCTCATCTCAACTCTCCAAAGGCACTTACTTGTCCCAACTCAGGCAGAAGCCACATCACCTTTATGACCTGGCCTCAGAAGTCACACATAAAATCACTTCTGCTGCATTCTGTTGGCTACAAGTGAGTCGCAAATCTGCCTAGATTGAATGAAAGGGGTATTGGACACCACCTTTTGATGAGGAAGAGGTTCTAGAAGAACATGCAGCCATCTTTGGAAAGTGCCGTCTCCACACCAAGTGTTCCCCCACTGGTATCATCTCCATGATACACTACTTCTCATTGGTTTGTTGTTACAGCCCCAGTGCTGGAGTGATGCAGAAGCACTCAGTTGGTGTTCAATCATGTTTTAGAGTGAATAAATGAAGGCTGGTCTTTCAAGGGGTCATTCAGGCCCAACTCTCCACCCTGTAAGTGTATTTCCTGCACCAGCCCTCAATTTCAGCCTGGTCTGCTCTGGAGGAAGTGCAGTATTTCCATGGAAGATGGGAGTCAGGTATAGTTGCCCTTGCTTTTTTTGGCTGGGGGTGTGAGGGTACAAGTAGAGGGGGAGGGCTTTGGGAATTGAGAGACGTGTAACCAAATGACATTCTGAAACAGTGTTCTACTGTATGGGGTGTTGAAAATGCAGTCTACTTTTTCTCATTCTGAACACTGGAAATGCCCAGGTGAGCACTGGGGTTTTGTCCTCTAGACTGGCCTTGGGGAGTAGTAAAGTGGACTAATGGGATGGACCTTTGGAGAGGTGCCTCAGGTAGCAGAAAGGGGGTTGGAATGCCTATTAGGAACCTTTGCAGAGATCTGGGCTGAGGTGGCCCTGAAGCCCCCCATTTGCCTGTTAAGGTATGCAAATTCTCCCTGCTTTGTTATTGGTGTAAGACCTTCTATTTGATCTTCCCAAAGTCCTGAAGCTTGTACAGTTTCTTCTCGTTTCCTTCTCTTCCATTACGGATATTGGCAGAAGGACAAGCCAGAGACTCAACCAGGGCTTCTTCCTGGCACCCCTCCCCCGCCCCCCATCAAACTACTTTGGCTTCTCAAATCTCTCTTCCCTTTTCCTGCCCCTTCCAGCCCCATGGTTGCTCTGAGAGTTCCAGTGTCATATCCCAATGGCCTCCCTCCTCCAGGGCCTCCTCCAGTCCATCCCTGCAGGGCTCCCCACCAACCCCAAAATCCACATGACTTTGGTCATTCAAGATCCTTCTTGTACAGCTGCTCCCTGTGTTTACGGCTTCTGTGGATCCACTCCCCCATGAAAATTGTACTTTCCTGGGGCATGGGGCCTTCCTGTCCAACATATTTTTTGGGACCCATGAAAATATTTGAATTTCTTTTAAAAGCAGAAGGAAAAAAACTTTCAGATAGAAGAAAATGTCTTAATATATAACATTTTGTTTTTTTTTACCACCACAGTTGTCAAATACACTTTCTAATGCTTTTTATGGAGGAAGACTCAGCTCTGAGGCTACTGTTGAAGGAAGCAAGGCCATCCAAACTGTCCTTTGACCTCTCAATCTTACACAGTTTTACATCTTGGAAAACCAGGCTCTAATCTTTGGTTTTGTGCCTCTCTCGCCCACCGTACTGTGAGTACCTGCCAGTCAGTACCTCAGCCCCAGCCCTGTTTTCTCCATATTGGCATCTGTTCCACACCTGTGCGGCCAAGCTGCCGCGTTAGACGACGCCCCACTAACTTCCGAAGACACCTGGAGAGGTGTTGGGGCTTTGTCTGGGTCCGGGGGAGGGGGCACCGGGGAAGGGGCGTGCTCCGGGGGAATGTGGGCGGGGCACCTGGAAAGGGGCGCCCGCAGAGCGGTCCGCGTCGCGGAGAAGGGGCGCCTGCTCCGGCCGGGAAGGGACTCGGCCGCTGGCAGCCCCCGCCCCTTAGCCCGGTCGGAAGGAAGCTGGCTCTGCGGTTCTCTCCTTTCTTCCCCAGAGCTCCGCACCCCTTCCCCTTCCCTCTCCTCCTCCCCATCTGGTTTCTGACGAAAAAGTGCTGCCGAGAATTCCCAGAAGGCCCGGACGTGAGGTCACGGCTGCGGTCCCGAGCAGGTTCCGGGAAGAGGCCAGGGCGGGGCGGTCAGCCGGGCGCAGGAGGGCCGGAGGGACACTGGCCAGGCCAGAATAGGGAGAGTCCGAGCCCCCGGGCCAGGGCTCCAGTCCCGGGGATGTGGCAGCGGGTCGGAAGGTCATGGCCCTGCCGCCTCGCACCTGGGGCTTTGTCGTCAGACAGGGACACAGGATGAATGAGGAGGGGGCTCGCCTCAGCGCTGTTGGGGCCCAAAGACTGGACCCCTTTAGCTGCCCATCTGTAGTGAACTGGTTAAGTACCGCACTGATGTGCCCTGGGGTACCACACCTCGTGGAAGGGAATGAGCAGTTGTTTATTGGCCAAATGGCCAAGATGCATTGTTAGGGGAGCAAAACCGAGGAGCCTCCTCCAGACTCCTCTATAAACTCCTTCTTAAAACTCCCTTCCTGGCGATTTAAGAAGATATACAGGTTTACCCCACTACCCAAAAATGGAGGGTTCCTACGAAACTTTCCCAAAGCCAAAATGGCGAGAAGCCAAGAAGCAATTACTATTAATTTATATGAAAAATTTTTGAGTGTTCCCAGACCCAAAAAATAACCTCTCAGTCTTTTCTGAAAAGTTAGGACACATCTTGCTAATGGATGCACAAAATAAATGGAGATAAAGCCCAGATGCTCAGGGACACAGTCCAAAGCTCTCGCAGCTTGGCGCTGAGAAGGCTAAGTGTGGTCCCCAGAAAGGCACGCTGCCTCTCTAAGTGCTGCTGCAAAGCAAACACGGAAAGCTATTCTCGTTTTTCCCCCTTCTTTGGTAAAAAGGAAAATCCTCTTCGAATTTCTTTTGGTTGGGAAAAACAGGTACTAACGTAGGTCTTTCGTAAAAGCTAAGTGGTGTGACCTGAATTTCCGAAAAGCAGGGGGGAGATGTGTATTCACTTAAATACATACTGAGCGCCTGCCAAGCACCAGCACATTGCAGTGCTGAGGAGATAGCAGTGGACACAACAGACAGAGGCCCTGATCTGTGCAGCTGTAGGCGGGGTGCCAGATGAAATGCCTCCGGTGTGGACAAGTGCTCTGAAGGAAAAGGGGAGAGCCAGGCATCAAGAAAATGATGGAGCTCATACTAAGATACTTCAGGTGGGGTGTTCAGGGGAGGCCCTTAGACAAGCTGACATCTGAACAGAGGATGAAGTGACAGAGTTGCATATATCCATCATGGAGGGCCAGTGTGGCTGAAGAAGAACGGGCAAGGGGGGCAGAGTGGTAGCAGGTGTGAGGCCAGGTCGGGAAGATGAGGGAGTAGGAGCAGGGTCGTGTAGGCCTGTAGGGGCTCTGGTTATAGTGAGATGGTGTGGGAAGCCAGTGGAGGGTCTTGAACAAAGAAGTGACATGATCTGACTTAGGCTTTAATAGATCATCTGGCTGCTGGACAGACAACAGAGGCTCCAGGGAGGAGCCTGTTGCAATAATCCAGGCAAGTCACAGTGGTGGCTGGGCCAGGGTGGTAGAGGTGTAAAGCATGATGTGCTTCTGGATATATTTTGAAAGTAGAGCTGAGAGAATTTGCTGCTAAACCAGATGTGACTGGAGAGAAAGGACTTGAGAGTGTAACCGCAAGCGTGGAGCTACCATTTACCAGGGGTGGGAAGATGGGGAGCAGTGGGATGTGTAGGGAGTAGGGCAAGGAACCAGTAGTCCGAGCTGCTGGTTCAGGGGTGATAGAAACAGGAGAATTATTTGGAATTTGTAGCAGAGAAACAGCTAGCACAATGGGATTGAGAAATTGGAGGAAGGTTTAATAAAAGGATTGTGTGACAGAAGTATAGCGAGTGTAGAGAAACCTCAAGGGCAAAGTAGGCACCCAGGGCTAGTGGATGGATACTGAATGATCCAAGTGAAAGGAGGGAGCTGCTGGCAGCTGGGGACAGAGAGAACTAAGTTGGGAGAACCATATCCAGGCTTCAGTGATGTCATCCAAGGAAGGGGATTTATTTTTGATACACAAGCTTGGATGTTGCCAAATAGCCGGAATTGAGGCCTTTGGTAGAGGAGAAGCCCGTCCATGGCAGGCCTGCAGGGAAAGTAAGCTACCTGAGCTCCCTCTGAACTCATGCCTGCGTTGGCCAGCGTTCAAGTCACATGGAAAGTCAGAGGACAAGGGAGCCCAGTGAGGTGGCTTGTGTAGGTCAGTCTCCTACACAGAGCTGGAGGGGCTAGAGAGCAGGTGTGGAGGAATGGAAGAGTAGAAGAGGCCTGGCTCGGGGCAGTGTGAAGGTGATAGCAAAGCCCTGGCTGGAGACAGGCTGCTTAGGGCCAAGCACAGTAGAAAAGGGGCAAAGTTCGCTGCCCTGGAGCCCTCTGGTACTTAGAGATTGTGAGATAACAGAGCACCAGGAAAGGATCCTCCACAGAGAGCCACACCCACGGCCAGTGAGGCAAGTGCGTCTGTAAGAGGTGGGGGGGGGGGGCAAGACAGGGCTGGATAAGTGCTCCCGCAGGATGAGGGGCACATATTTCTGTGTGTGTGGATATCACACACTGTCTGTCTCTGGAAAGAGACCAAAAGCCTCTGTTAATAGTGCCCTTAGTAGAGACCAAGGGCAAACAGAGGAGAGACACCCGACTTCTCATTTTCTTCCATTTGGGATATTTTAAACCATGTTCATATATAAATTTTATCAAAATGAAGAAAACAGAGTTTGTTTTCTTAAAGTTTCCCATAGCAGGAGAGATCCAGTTTTACAGAAAGAGCAAATTCAACAGTTTTCCCAAATAAGCTGGAGGACAGGCGCAAGGTAGTTCTGGGGTTGGAGAAGAGGCTTGATGGGGCCTGGGAGGGGGGCCCGGAAGAGTTGCTGTCAGGACTCCTTGTCTTCAGCCTTCTCTCAGAACAGTGACCTTGGAAACCAGGTTGAACTAGGTCCTGTTACACCTGCAGTCTCCTGGTTACTTGCCCTCTTCCTGGTCTGCACAGTCCAAGACTTGAGGAAAACTTAATTCTTCACATCTTAGTATCTTTTTAATAACTTTACATGTCATGCTTTAGGTATTTTCAATCTTGCGTATGAAAAAACAGCTCCCCTTCCTTGAATGAACTCACTCAAGTTTGGAGGCTGCCTGTTGGAAGAGAGCAAAGCCGTGTCCTGGACGAGGTACTCCTCTGTGGAGCACAGAGGCCTTTGCATTAGAAGTTTTTTCCCCTGTTAAGAACCAGTTCCAGATAGACGTCACTTCAGGATTGTGCTTTATTCTTAGCTCTACCTCAGATCCTGAGGATGGGGACCCAGTTAAGGGTCCCATGGAACCAGCCAATTTCAGGAAGCTTCTAACAGTTGGAGGGGTGGGAATGGGTGAGGGTCTGCAGAGGGAGCATTGGGAGACCTGTGTCCCCTCCTTCCTGGGCTGAGATGGGGATTCCTAACTGAACAGACTTCAGACTTTTCTGACTCAGCATTCCCCAAAGAAAGGGCCAAAACTGGGAAGGGAGCCACCAGCACATTTCCCTCTTGGGAACTATGGTAAAATGTGAACTCTAGATCCACTTCCCATTCCAACCAAATAATTCAAACTTCTCCATATGCCCTCTGCCTTTGAGTCTCTCTGTCTCTGTCCTACTAAAACAAAACTCCATGAGAGCAGAGACCATGTCTGCATTATTTGCCCCATATGATCAGGGACTGGAGCAGCACACGCTTCAGTAAACGCATGCGTGAATGGCCAAAGTGACTTTTCCACAGCTGAACTGTGTTTCAGGAAGACACCCAACCATCCCTTTGTACACACTGTGCCCGTCATCTCCAAAGCACAGTCCTGGGTGGGCCGCCCACCCTGAGCAGGATACCGGGGCCATCCAGAGAGCTGAGTGTGCACATCTCACCCCTATTTCACCTGTAGTGCCAGTAGCTTGACATCAGCCATGGTGGGAAAATTTACTCCATGGAAACTAGCAAACACTTGGACATCATGACCTTCTTCCCCAGAGAACAGGCTGTTAAACGTTTACCAGCACACTCCTGTCTCCAGCCCTGTTTCTGCCACTTGCAGGCTCTTAAGATTCAGACAAGTCACCGAGCTTCAGTTCATAAACTGGAAGCCCCATGATGTCTACCTGACGGACTTGTCTGGAGTGTTAAACGTGACTGTAATCCTGTACTGTGTTTAGCATAATTACTTCTAGTAAATACACAGTACACTTTAGTATGACTTCAGTTACTTCTTGCTGAGGAACAAGCCACCCCCAAAATTTAGTGGTTTAACACACTACATTTATTTTGCTCATGAATCTATAATACAGTAGAACTCGGTAAAGTAGCCGATGACTGGAGAGACATGAGCGCTGGGGAACAGGACCACCTGAAAGCATGTTCACTCCATCTGGCATTGAATGCTGGCTGTCAGCTTGGACCTCAGCCGGGCTGTTGACAGCACCCCTGCACGGGTCTCCTGCATGGAACCGAGGCTTCCTCACAGCGTGGTGGCTGGGATTCAAGGTTGGGCGTCCCAAGAAAAAAACAGGCAGCAGCCATGCATTTCTTCTAACTTACTCTGGAAATCAGACAGTGTCAACTTCTTCCACATTTATTCATTAGAAATGAGTCACTAAGACTGGCCCATATCCAAGGGGTGAGGAATTTGATTCCCTTTTTTTGAGGAAAAGAATTTGTGGACATGTTTTAAACCATCCTAGCT